GGCCGTCTGAGTGACTGTAGCTAGAGGTGTCACCAGGAAGCAATGTAAACACTGCCTTTTGTCTGTGTTTACATTTAAAAGCCTCCAGGGTCAGGATATAGACTTCAGAGCAACTACATTAAGCTGTAGTGGTTCTGGTGATCATAGTGTCCCTTTAAGATTTGTATTTTTGACGTTGATTTCTCTGGCTCCTAACTTTTCTAGCTGGCTTTTAGATTCCAAACTAATTTGTCAAACTGTGTGTGTGTGTGTGTGTGTATATATATATATATATATATATATATATATATATATATATATGTGTGTATATATATATATATATATATATATATCTATATAATCTCCACGTATCCTCCACATACATATAATCTTATAAATTATTATGGTTATAATAAATATATATATATATATATATATATATATATACATATACACAAACATCAGTACGATACACATATGTTAATAGACATATGCATACATAATACACATTTGGAGATTACACACGTATATAAATGTAACAAGGGTTTTACATTTTTCAAAGATTTATTCACTAAATTTCTAATTTTAGAAAGTGAAAATCTAAATTGCGTAATTTAGACCAAAATAGCGGATTTGAAAAATCCAAACTTCGCCATAGTTACAGCTTGACTATTGTAGCCTAATTTTTGCAAATTATTCACAAAAATTATTAGTTTAGTGGATGACCCTGCCCTTCTCTCAGTCTTTCATTCCCTGGTATCAAACTATATCTAACGCAGAATGCACTCATAGGATTGAGGACTAAACAAAATAAGATTAATTTAAATTAGACATGCAGCAGCTATCAGTCAATGACTATTCAAGTTTTGGGGATGAAACATTGGGTAAATAATTTTCAATCTTTTGTGTTTTTCCACCTGTATATCTGTCACAGTTGGCACAATTAATGTTAGGGCTGGTGTAAAAAAATTCCAGGGCTGCTTTTTATTCCCAGTCCGGCCCTGCTCTGAATCCTGTACACACACAAACACACACACAATCTCCTATACACACTCTGGGTCCTTTACACACTAGATCCCCTACACACACACACACACACTGTACCACCTACACACACTACATTCCTGACATACAAACTCTGGATCCCCTATGTACACACTACATTCCTTGTTAGCACACACTCTCTACAACCCCTACACACACTACAGCTCGTATGCACACACTCGCTACATCCCCAATTCACACTATGCCCCCTATACACATACACTCTCTACAGCCCCTAGCCATACATATTACACCACACACACAAATGAAATCAACCTTATTACACAATACCACACCACAATCAGCTCACTCTACACACACGCAATCACACAAGCATACTCCAAATACATGCACGATACGCTTTCCTGGCTCTTTTGTCCTCTGGTATCCCACTTATGGAGACACCAAAGACAAGCTAAAAGCAAACACAGTGCAAGCATGTTATTAAACTTGCTTGCGCTGCGCAGAACAAATACAGGGCATTTATCTCATGCAGGGCTCTTCAGCAGAGCTCTGCGCATTAAACTAACATGTTTACTTTGAGAGGGGGTGTGCTTGTCATTAGTGATGATAAAACACACCCTCTTTGGCCCCACCCTCTTCTCAGGGGGCTGCTCTGATTGAAAAATGCCAGGACCAAATTTTTTTCCCTGTCAAGGAATGCCATTGCCATGAATGGGTCTACGTGGTCTGCAACAATTTCTAAGTAGGTGGTACGTGTCAAAGTAACATCCATATGAATAACAGAACCCAATGTTTCCCAGCAAAACATTGCACAGAGCATAACACTGCCTACAACTGCCTGTCTTCCCTCCATAGCGCATCTTTCAGGTAAACCATGAACATGTACCCGGTCCTCCACCTTATCTAAAAGAAAATGTTCATCTGACCAGACAACCTTCTTCCATTGCTCCATGGTTTAGTTCTTATTCTCACATCCCCATTGAAGATACTTTTGGGGGTTGGCAGGGGTCATCATGGGCCCTGACCAGTCTGCAGTTACACAGTCTCATATGCAGCAAACTGCAATGCACAGTGTGTTCTAAAATCATTCTATCATTAGACAATCAGACAGGCTATCCTTCACGACCCATGTGCATCAATAAGCCTTGGGCGACCATGATCCTGGTTCACCGGTTGTCCTTCTCTGCACCAATTTTGGTAGGTGCTAACCACATGGAACACCCCCCAAACACTTTCTGTTATGGAGATTCTCTGACAAAGTCATCTAGTAATCACTATTTGGCATTTGTCATAATAATTCATATCTTTCTGCTTGCCGATTTTTCTTGCTTCCAATACATGAAATTCAATAACTTAGTGTTTACTTTCTTCCCAATACATCCCACCCCTTGACAGGTGCCACTGTAACAATATAGTCAATATTATTCACTTCTGTCAGTGGTTTTAACCCCTTAAGGACTGAGCCAATTGTACAAGTTGTGATCAAAACAAAACGTAAACAAAACCTTGAATTTGCGCTATATGTCTGTTCAGGCGTAATTCGCCTCTCTCATATTACCAACACTTATCCTATAAAATTTTGTTCAGGAGAAACAGGGCTTTCATGTCACATCAAATATTTGTATATTAACCCCTTAAGGACGGAGCCAAATGTACACGTTGTGAACAAAACAAAATGTAAACAAAACCTGGCATTTCCGCTACATGTCTGTCCAACCGTAATACACCTCTTTCATAGTAAATGCACCCACCCCTATTATATATCATTTTATTCAGGGGAAACAGGGCTTTCATTTAATATCAAATATTTAGCTATGAAACATAATTTAATATGAAAAAAATGGGAGAAAATACGATTTTTTATTTTTTAGTTCTACATGACATTTTAACGGTCAGTGTCATAATACTGTTTGCTTTTACTGCAATAAAATACACATATTTGTATTCAGCAAAGTCTCACGTGTAAAACAGTACCCCCTATGTACAGGTTTTATGGCGTTTTGGGAAGTTACAGGGTCAAATATAGCACGTTACATTTGAAATTGAAATTCGCCAGATTGGTTACGTTGCCTTTGAGACTGTATAGTAGCCCAGGAATGAAATTTACACCCATAATGGCATACCATTTGCAATAGTAGACAACCCAAGGTATTGCAAATGGGGTATGTCCAGTCTTTTTTAGTAGCCATTTGGTCACAAACACTGGCCAAAGTTAGCGTTAGTATTTGTTTGTGTGTGAAAAATGCAAAAAGCGCCAATTTTGGCCAGTGTTTGTGACTAAGTGGCTACTAAAAAAGACTGGACATACCCTGTTTGCAATACCTTGGGTTGTCTACTATTGCAAATGGTATGCCATCATAGGGGTAATTTTCATTCTTGGGCTACCATAGGGTCTCAAAGGCAACGTAACCAATCTGGCGAATTTTAATGTGAAAAAAATGAAACGCAAGCCTTATATTTGACGCTGTAACTTTTGAAAACACCATAAAACCTGTACATGAGGGGTACTGTTGTACTCGGGAGACTTCACTGAACACAAATATTTGTGTTTCAAAACAGTAAAAAGTATCATAGCAATAATATTGTCCGTTTAATGCTGTTTGTGCGTGAAAAATGCAAAAACGTCACTTT